GATAGAAAGAAAGAAAGAAAGAAAGAAAGAAAGAAAGAAAGAAAGAAAGAAAGAAAGAAAGAAAGAAAGAAAGAAAGAAAGAAAGAAAGGAGGGAGAGAGGGAGGGAGGGAGGGAGGGAAGGAAGGAAGGGAAGAAAAATGGGGAGGAAAAAAGGAGAGGTGAGAAAGAGGGAGAGAAGAGGGGGAGAGAAAGGAAGGAAGGAAGGAAGGAAGGAAAGAAGGAGGGAGGGAGAGGAAAGAAGGGGAGGGAGGGAAAGGAAGGCAAAGAAATGGGAAGAAGGAAAAAGGAGAGGTGAGACAGGAGAGAAGAAAGAGAACGAATGAGAGAAAGGAAAGAAAGAGGAAGGGAGAGGGAAGGAAAGAAGGGAGAGAAGGAAGGAAAAAAGGAAGAAGGGAAAGGCAGAGAAATGGGAAGAAGGGAGGGGGGAAAAAGGAGAGGTGAGGCAGAAGGAGAGAAGGGAGAAAGAGAACGAATGAGAGAATGAAAGAAAGGAAGAAAAGAGTTTTGACTCCAGAGCGGGTTCTTGGAGGCCCTAATCTAATGGAAATATGGGTGATCCTCAACTTAGGGCCACAAATGAGCGAAGACTTTATGTTGTCAAGTGAGAAATGTGTGAGGCTTTACCCTGTTTCATGACTTTTCCTGCCACGTTTGCTCGGGGAATCGCTGCCCTTCTGGAATCAGTAACCCAGTCGTTAAGTGAACCTGGCTTCCCCGCTGACCTTGCTGTTTGCTGAAAGGGGATCCCAGGACCCTGCGACCGTCGTAAAGGAGAACCACTTGAGAAGCATCTGAATGCCAACCACGCAACCGGGGCGGGGGGGGGGGGGCTTGCAATAGTCAGAACTGTGAAAAATGGGCACTTTTTTCAGATGCACTTGTAACTTTGAATGGTCACAACTTCAAAGGGAGGAAGGAAAGGAGCATGGGGAAAGAGGGAGGGAGGGAGGGAGGGAGGGAAGGAAGGAAGGAAGGAAGGAAGGGAGGAAGGGAGGAAGGAAAGAGGGAGGGAGGAAGGAAGGAAGGGGAAAGGAAGGAAAGAGAAGGAAGGAAGGAAGGGAGGGAGGAAGGAAAGAGGGAGGGAGGGAGGAAGGAAGGAAGGGGAAAGGAAGGAAAGAAAAGAAAAGGAAAGGAAGGAAGGAAGGAAGGAAGGGGAAAGGCAGGAAGGAAAGGAAAGGAAGGAAGGAAAGCAGCATGTGGAAAGAGGGAGGGAGGGAGGGAGGGAGGGAAGGAAGGAAGGAAGGAAGGAAAGGAAAGGAAGGGGAAAGGCAGGAAGGAAGGAAAGGAAAGGAAAGGAAGGAAGGAAAGGAGCATGTGGAAAGAGGGAGAGAAGGAAGGAAGGGGAAGGAAAGGAAAGGAAAGGAAGAAAGGAAAGGAGCATGCGGAAAGAGGGAGGGAAGGAAGGAAGGAAGGAAGGAAGGGGAAAGGAAGGAAAGGAAAGGAAGGGAGGGAGCATGGGGACAGAAGGAGAAGCATGGGAAGGAGGGAGGAGCATGGGGAGAGAAGGAAAGAAGAGGGAAGGAGGGAAGAGCATGGGGACAGAGGGAGAGGAGGAGGAGCATGGGAGAGAAGGAGAAGAGGGAGGGAAGATCTGGAGTTTAAGATGGAAGGAAGAATCACAGAATCCTGGAGCTGGAAGACCTCTTCTGGATCCAACCCCTGCTTGAGCAGATCCTATAAATATCATTTCAGATAAATGGCGGTCCAGTCTCTTTTTGAAAGGTTGGGGAGGAACCTGGGCCAGTCCTGGAGCCTGGGGAAGACTCTGACGAGGGCTCTGAATCCGACAGTTATCAGCTGCCTTTGGAGTTGGAGATCAGTAGGGAAGAAGAACAGCTGGAGCCTGTTCCCAGTGTGCTCATGCGCAGAGCTGCCAGATGAAGGGAACAGCTAAGGAACAAGGGTCGACTGGGGAGTAAAGGCTCAGGTGGACAGTGAAAGGCCCCTCCCACAGGGAATAAAAGAGGAGTGAAAGGGGAGTGGGGTTTGCAGTTAGTTCAATTCATTAGGGTGAAGACCTGTCCCTGACTCCTTGCTAAGTCATTGCTGCTACAGCGTGGCGTTTGGGAGCTATCGGCCTGGCAACTCTCCCAGCCTGATCAAGGTCTGTAGTTGTGACCTCTCTTGGAAGACAGTTTGCCGGGACTTTGCTGGAGAGGAATTCCCTTGAACCTAAAACAAAAGGGGTTTTATCGGGACGAGGAGTTCCGCTTCGTGATCTTCGGAAGCCTGGATCGGAACACTTCAGCCGTAGAAATTTCGATTCCGGTCACTAAGCTGAGGACGATCGGTTAAACCAATATATATATTTCTTTTGATATATATATATATCAAAAGAAAACCACTCACCTCCCAGACCCAGGGTGGGGTGAGGGGGGTGAAGAGTCTTGAGAAAAGCCAGCATAAAGCATTTTTTTATTTATTGCAGTAATAAAACTCTATACGTTCACATGATGAGAAAGATGGCGGACGTGGGGAAGAAGAGGGCAGTGGCGATTCTCTTACCAAAACTCACGACGGCGTGGGGAGTGAAAAGGAAAGGGAAGCCAGAGAGGGAAGGGCTGGGTTGGGGAAGGGGACCGCCGAAAGAAGGTGGGGGGCACGTTTGAAAGGGGGGGTCGGGGTCGCAAGAGCTGCAGACGACCAGCATCAGTTTTCCAGGAGGAACTTACGGGCATTTTGGGGGGGTGGCATGGGGGGTAGGCATGGTTGGCTGGGGAGGGGTCTGAGGGGCAGGATGTATCCCCTCCCTCCTCCTCACTTTACGGCGAACAGCAGGACTTGAGTTTCGCTCATGGTCGGGACTGCTGGAAGTTTTTATTTTTTTAAAAAACAAAATGGCGTTTAAAAGCCCACGGAGAGAAAACCGTCTTTCTCCTCAAAGGGAAACTATTTTGGGAGTAGGGGGTTCGCGGGGTGGTGGGGAGGGGATGGGGGGGGTGAGGAGAGGACCCTCTCAACTCTCGGGGGGGGGGTCTACTAGGCCCGGTGGGGAGGGGGATGTTCCCGCCTCTCTCAAGCCCCTGCGACAGCCGGGCAAAGGCGTTTTTAAAAACGATCCTTGCAAAATAAAAATAAAAAAGATATATATATATATATTTCTATCGAAGGGAAACCAACTAGACCGCCTCAGCTGTGTACAACGCGAGCCTACACTCCCCCACCCCCCCCCCAAAAAACCCCTCCAATAATAAAAGGACATGGTTGTGCCCCCCCTTTTCAACCCCCCCCCACAAAAAATAATAATAATAATTGCTGAGGTTTATAGCAGAGAGCCGGGGGGGGAAGAAAGCCCCACAAACACGGCCCCCCTTTAAGACGGGAGGACTTCGACTCCCAGAATTCCTCTGGGAGTCGAAATCCGCTCATCTTAAAGGGGCCGTGTTCCCCCCACCCCAAAAAAATACCAAAACAAAACGTCAACGGAGGAAGCGGAACCGAGCGGCTCAGAAACATTCAAAATTGGGGGGGGGCCGGAGGGGGGCGGAGGGCGACACCAAGAGAGTGGCGGGTAGCCGGGAAAGCTCCATACAGATTAGTGTGCATTCATCTCGAAGCAAAGGGCGTCTGGGGTTCTCCGTGTGCCGAGCCTGCGGAGACAAAATAAAAGGGCTTGACAGACTGCCCTCCTCCGGAGGGGGGTTAGTTCAACCAGGGCGTGGTGGCGCCGCCGGCAAGAGGCCGGCTTTCCTTGTCTCCTTGGGATCGAATGCTCTCGGAGCTAGTGTGTGTGTGTGTGTGTGTGTGTGTGTGTGTGTGTGTTTTCTCACAGACCTTTCGCAACCCAGCTAGGTAACGTCATCATGGCTAATGTGTTTCCCCGAAAATAAGACCCTTCCATCTTCCATTAAATGGCGCGTCGCCTGGGTGCAAATGTCTCTACATTTATGATATTCGTTACATCGATAATCATTCTCTACTCTTACAATAATAATAATAATAATAATAATAATAATAATAATAATAATAATAATAATAATAATCAGCATTATAACTCTTATTCATTTCTCCCTCCTAACATATCTTCTCATGAAAATATAACGCATGAGGTATAATAATCGTATTAATAACAGTCACATTCTTTACCTCTCCATTGTAACATATATTCCTTATTTCACTCATCTTCACTTATTTCTCACTTCTGTTTTTAATTCTCCAACCATCCATAAAATAGCGCCCATGTCACACTGTGTTTCCCCGAAAATAAGACCCTTTATTCTTCTTCTTCTGGCCAAGCTATTTGTATATAAGCAGAAAGCAAATCCTACTCTCTTCTAGCGCACAAAGAGCTACAAGGACCCCACTCCTTCTCCTCCTCCTCTCCTCCTCCTCTTCTCCTCCTCTCCTATTCCTTCTCCACCACTCCTTCTCTTCTTCCTCCTTCTCCCCTGCTCTCCTCCTCCTCCTCCTTTCCCTTCTCCTTTATTATCACT